AGGGGCTCTCGGTGGACTACGGCAAGAAGTCCAAGCTGGAGTTCGCCATCTACCCGGCCCCCCAGGTGTCCACGGCCGTGGTGGAGCCCTACAACTCCATCCTGACCACCCACACCACCCTGAGGACTCGGACTGCGCCTTCATGGTGGACAACGAGGCCATCTACGACATCTGTCGGCGCAACCTGGACATCGAGCGCCCCACCTACACCAACCTCAACCGGCTCATCGGGCAGATCGTGTCCTCCATCACCGCCTCCCTGCGCTTCGACGGGGCCCTCAACGTGGACCTGACGGAGTTCCAGACCAACCTGGTGCCCTACCCCCGCATCCACTTCCCCCTGGCCACCTACGCCCCGGTCATCTCGGCCGAGAAGGCCTACCACGAGCAGCTGTCCGTGGCCGAGATCACCAACGCCTGCTTCGAGCCGGCCAACCAGATGGTCAAGTGTGACCCTCGCCACGGCAAGTACATGGCCTGCTGCATGCTGTACCGGGGGGACGTGGTCCCCAAGGACGTCAACGCGGCCATCGCCACCATCAAGACCAAGCGCACCATCCAGTTTGTGGACTGGTGCCCGACGGGGTTCAAGGTAGGACCGGGCGAGGTCGGGTCCTCGTGCAGACCCGTAGACCCTGCGTCCCCCGGGGCCCTCAGCCTGCGCGGAGCCTGTCCCTGTTCCACGTCGGCCAGGCTCCGGTCATGAATTGGTGAAGCAGAGCGGTATTTACTCAGTGTCTCCTGTCCTCCGAGTCACCGCACTGCTCGCCCATGGTGCGATGCGCTTGCTCTCCTTTCCTCTTTTTGAACAGGGTAGAGCATTTTCTGAAAGATTTTCGTGTCCCTTTCTAGGTGCTAGGATTAGTGTGGGAAGTGCAGGCTGAGCTTAGAAATGGAATAATATTAAGGGCATTATGGTGATACTTGTGGCCGACTGCATGGGTCAAGGCCCTGACCCGGCAGCTTGAAGAGGACACTGGTGTGCCCTGGTGCCCAGACCCTACACGGAGGACGAGGAAGGGGTCGTCAGGTGGCCGTCTCCCCGGAGGGTGATTTCTTGGCCCCCTGCCCCGACGTTGGCTCGCTCCTGTGAAAGCACACTTCCTATGGCAACACTTAGGGGAAAATTCTGGCACTAAGTTCACCGCAGCCTGCGGACACGTGAGAGGCTGCCGTCCCTTCCCTTCCCAGCATTTCCCGGTAGTCCCAGTAGTCGGTCACAAGCCTCGTCCTATCACCGTGCGTCCTCTGCTTTCCCTGCTGCCTCCCCTGCACTCGTCAGCGTCACGAAGATTCCTGCGCTGGGTTATCTCCTTCCGGGTTGGCATGTGGGTAGACCAGCTGCCTAATTCTGTAAATGAGGTTCCTGTGCACTCAGCCACGCTCGTCTGTTCACAGCTGTGCCCTGCTGCTTGTGCAGGACAGCAGCTGGGTCCACGGTTGTGAGCGAGCCCACGTGGCCATAAGCCTGCAACCTGCAGTCTCCCTCTTCACAGACAGCTCTGACCTCCGCTCTAGGCGGCCCTCTGCACAACTCCCAAGGCCTCAGGTCACGTTACCCCTGTTCCTGGAATTCCTCCCTTTTTAAAAAGAATGATTTATTTATCATTGTTATTATTATTTTAGTTTGCAAAAAGGCTCATGTGTTCACCAGAGAAAGACGGAGACAACACAAGCCGCCAGGTCCAGGACTTGAACTGTGGTCAGCCATGTGGGAGTCCAGCGCCTTAACCACCACACCACCTGCCGGCCCCTTGGAAATCTTCGATCCTTAGGTTGGCATATCACTCCCCACACACTTGAGCACACACTTCCACGCACCTCATGCTGCTGGGGTAGCAGCGTTCATTTGACCTTTGACCTCTGCCTTGTCACTTTTGCATATGAGGGGACTACAGAACATTTGTGGGGAAACAGGACGAATGTACAGAGTTAGGTTGGTGCGACCCTTTGAAATCCATGTGTAAGTTTTCTTTCTTTCTTTTTTTTTTTTTTTAAGTTTTTGCCATAGAGTGCATGTGCCCCCAGAGAGACAGAGACAGTAGGAGGGAAAGTCAGAAATCACCCCCCGGGGGGATGGCCACGTCGCAGTCCCTTCTCCTAGGTCTGTGGGCATACACGCATGCACACACACACACATACACACACACACACACACGGTGTGAGTTTCAAGCAACTAAGTCCAGGACTCGAACTACGGTCAGCCATGTGGAAGTCCAGCAACTACGCCTAATCTGTGGCGTCCACTCGTCCCCAAAATGGGACCACTATGCCCACCTGCTGGTCCCTCCCCTGCCTTTGTCTGGAACCACCACCCCAGCATCCCGCCTGCAGGAAGATGGCTCCGAGCATGTTTGGGGGTCCCTGGTCCCTAGCAGGTGCCGCCGTGTTGTCTGCTCCTTGAGGAAAAGTAGCCGTCATTTCTGGGTTTGCTACAAGCTTCACAGAATGTTTTCTTCCCCTTCGTTGGCAGGTGGGCATCAACTACCAGCCCCCCACCGTGGTCCCCGGGGGAGACCTGGCCAAGGTGCAGCGGGCCGTGTGCATGCTGAGCAACACCACGGCCATCGCCGATGCCTGGGCCCGCCTGGACCACAAGGTA